AGAGGAGTTGATGTGGTCTGTGTCTAGTTTTAACCCTAAAAAGGCACCTGGGAGGGATGGTCTCACAGCGGATATCTGCTTAAAATCTATTTCTCTGGACCCGGCAATGTTTTTGGCAATAGCCAATAAATGCCTTAATTTGGCACACTTTCCTAAGAAATGGAAAGAAGCGGTTGTAGTGGTGCTGCGAAAGCCTGGGAAAGAGAACTACACGCATCCCAAATCCTACAGACCTATTGGACTGCTGCCTGTGCTCGGGAAAATCTTCGAGAAAATGTTAATCCAACGAATAAAATGGCACATTGTACCCACACTTAGCCGGAGACAGTACGGATTTATGCCACAGCGTAGCACCGAAGACTCCCTCTATGACATGATACAGCTAGTAAAAACCAAGCTTGAAGACAAAAAGATAGTATTATTAATATCCTTGGACATAGAGGGAGCCTTCGATAACGCATGGTGGCCTGCAATCAGATGCAGATTGGCAGAAACTGGTTGCCCAATTAACTTACGACGTCTCATTGACAATTATTTCGAGGATAGAACCGTTTGCATTAGGTACGCAGGAGCAGAACACACGAAAGCCACTGCTAAGGGGTGCGTGCAGGGCTCAATAGGGGGTCCTATATTTTGGAACCTGTTGATCGACCCTCTTTTACATGAACTGACCGAAAAAGGGGAATATTGCCAGGCCTTCGCAGACGACGTGGTCCTCATTTTCTCCGGGGACAGGGCATCTGAAGTGCAGGAACGGGCCAACGCTGCCCTCGCGCATATTCAGAGGTGGGGGAGTAAAAAATAAGCTCAAATTTGCACCAAATAAGACCAAAGCGATGGTGATAACAAAAAAAGATAAAATATGACTCACCAATTCTGAGGATGGGCGGGGTAAATATTGCGTTGTCCACAGAAATAAAAATATTAGGACTAACCATAGACGCCAAGTTGACCTTCAACACACACGTAAAAAATGTGTGTTGCAAGGTACAACGTTTGTATTGCCAATTAACAAGAGCTGCCAAGATTGGTTGGGGCCTGAACCCGGAGATCATTAGGACCATCTATGTAGCGGTAACGGAGCCGATCATATTATATGCCGCTAGTGCATGGGCAGCGGCCACACACAAACAGAGTGTCAAAAAGCAGCTCGACATGGCACAACGCGGGTTTATTCAAAAGATCGTAAAATCGTATAAAACCGTATCCCTCCACTCGGCCCTACTACTCGCTGGGTTGCTTCCTTTGGACCTCAGGATTCGGGAAGCAGGCTTACTTTATGAAGTGAAGAAAGGTTACTCCCAGCGAATAGTGGGAGACCGGGAAGTGGAACGGAAACTAGAATACGCGAAGACACCTCACCCCGCGAATCAGGTTGGGCTGCAGTTTGTATGCCTGGAGGATAGTGCACAAGTCGACGAACACAACAATATGGGTCTAAAAATCTACACAGACGGGAGTAGAATTGAGGGGAAAGTCGGCGCCGCGTTATCCATTTGGAATGACGCGGCGGAGATAAGTAGCCAAAAATTCAAACTAGAAGACTTCTGCACTGTCTACCAGGCGGAGTTGCTGGCCATATATGAAGCAACAAATTATGCCCTAAAAAATCTGGCACCGAGCTGCAATATCTATAGCGACTCAAGATCGGCTCTCCAGACAGTTATCCAGAGCGTTTCCCTCCATCCCCTAGCGGCAAAAATTAGAAGAAATATTTCGGAAATAAATAAAAAAGGAAAATTGTTAAAATTGTTTTGGATAAAGGCACACGCAGGGCTGGAGGGAAACGAGAGAGCAGATGAGTTAGCAAAGGAAGCCGCCCTAAAATTAAAACGAAAACCGGACTATGATAGGTGCCCGATTTCATTCGTCAAGCGAGAAATCCGTCTTAATTCGCTTGACGAATGGAACCGACGTTACGTGGAAGGCGAAACCGCCTCCGTAACAAAAGTGTTTTTCCCAGACGCCTTAAGCGCCTATCCTATAATAAGGAAAATATACATGGACTCGCTAACGGTGCAAGTGATGACAGGACATGGCGGGTTCTCAGAATATCTGCATCGATTCAAATGTAAAGAGAGCCCGGCATGTGTCTGTGATCCGATGAAGCAAGAAAGTGTAATACATATTATTACAGAATGTCCTGTCTATAGCAAACATAGAAATGACATAGAAATAGAACTAGCAATAAAAATTAGTAAAGAAAATATATGTAAAATAATAAGAAATAAATATATTAGAAGTAGGTTCCTAAAGTACTGTAAAACTATAGCTAATAAGGTGATACAAAAGAATAAATAAGAGTATAAAAAGGAAACTGTAAATTATATACAGGTATATAATGTAAACAGCCCCGTAAAAACAGTAAAAATAAAAATAATTTAAGTTATAGTAACAAATATAAAAAAGGAATATATAAATAACAATGTAAGATATATTAAAATAGAAATAAGAACCGCATCAGAAACTAAGAGCTAAGGATAAATCTAAGAATAAAAGTAGATTAAGATATAGTAATAAAGATGAATGTAGTAATGTAAGACACGTGTAACCTAAATTTAAGAACTGTAATAGAATGTAAGTCAAAAAGAAGTAAAAAAGAAAAAAGCAAAAAGATAAAATAAAAAATTAGAAAAGATATAAATAAAGAAATAAAAATAAAAAGATGGAAAAGGTCCCTGATCTCCATGTTAGGGGGAACTAGAAAAAAAAAAAAAAAAAAAAAAAAAAAAAAACCTAACCTAACCTAACCTAACCTAACCTAACCTAACCTAACCTAACCTAACCTAACCTAACCTAACCTAACCCAGTCTCAACCCAGAAATCCTTAGAACTATATATATCACGGTAGTTGAACCTACAGTGTTATATGCGGCGGGGGCATGGGGCCTAACAGCAAGTAAAAAACAAGTAAAAGTCAGGCTTGACAGAATCACCAGGATATTCGCAATAATGATAAGTAAGGCACACCGTACGACATCTTTAGTATCCTGCACAATTCTAGCCAGAATTCTACCCTTAGATTTAAGAGCCAAAGAAAATGCCGAAATCTATATGATCAAAAGGGGGAAACCAATTGCGAATTTACCCGGCAGGAAACTAGCCAAACCCATACACCCTCACACGCTACCACATCCAGCAAATAGAACAAGACAACAGTACGGGATGATAACTTCAGAAAATGACATAGGTGCTATAGAAAACAACTGGCCATGTATATATACTGATGGCAGCAAAATCTCAGGAAAAGTGGGTGCTGCTATCACTTGCTGGAAGGAGGGAAAAGAAATACACAAGGCTAAACTAAAGCTAGGAAACCATTGTAGTGTTTACCAAGCGGAGCTAGCAGCCATTTTAAAAGCTACAGAAATCATGCTGAGCAAACAATCACTCAAACATCCAAACATTTTGAGTGACTCGCAATCAGCGTTAGAATGCCTCACGAATCCAAACACTTTACACCCTATAGCAGCAGAGATTCTGGCCCGTATCTCAGAAATAGAAAGAAAACAGGGAAAAGCAAGATTGTTTTGGATCAAAGCCCATTGTGGTATTCAAGGGAACGAAAGAGCCGACGAACTGGCTAAATCAGCAGCGGAAACATTAAAACAGAAGCCTGTTTACGACTGCTTCCCTCTGTCTTTTGCAAAGCGCCACATCAGGGATAACACTTTGCATACCTGGCAAGACTTATACACCTCATCAGACACCGGAAGAGTCACGAAAAAGTTCTTTCCAAACGTGAACCAGGCGTATACGACATTAAAGAAGATTACAATAAATAACTTAAGATGTCAAATTTTTACAGGACACGGAGGTCTTAATGCATATTTGCACAAATTTAAATTAGCCCAGAGCCCACACTGTGGATGCGACCATGTAACACCACAAACAATAGAACATCTATTAATAGAGTGCCCTAGATTTGCGAGTTTAAGAATTTGTTGCGAACACCGTATGGGCTTTCCGATAAAAGAAGACTCTCTGTGTAGGGCGGTCAACGACAATGACAGTCGCACTCATTTTCTTGTATACGCCGAAAGGTGTCTGAGAAAAGTGCTACAAGAAAATGGGTCAAAAATATATTAACATAATTAAAGCATAAGAAAAAAAAATTTTTTTTGATGTAGTATTAGATATACATAGTCTTAGAAGCAGTAGATGATAATAACTATAGTAAGGCTAGTAATAACCATAACTTTAATACTTAACTTATTTTAAAACTGGTAGCAATAGCGTGTATTATCAATAGAAGCATTTAGTATAGCTAGTATACTTTTTAGCAGATAGAAAACTAGCAGTAGTTAGCGGTATAGATGAATGTATCTAATAGCTCATTGTAAATAAAGACAGAATATTGTAAAAGTAGTAAGTAATTAATGTATTAAAAAAAAGATAAATAGTTGATATGCAAAACAGAATAAACTGTAAAAATACCTTATTGTATAAGCATAGGTAACAAAAAAAAAAAAAAAAAAAAGAAAAAAAAAATCAAGACAGCCAGTCATGATTCTAATATAGTAATATTTGTGAGATATTGTATAGCTGCTATCAATATTGAACTATGGTGATACGGCAGAATATTGTAAATAACTTATGTTAAACAGTTTAAAAAAAAAAAAAAAATAAAAAAAAAAAAAAACGAGAAAGAAACCAAAAGTTAAAAAAAACAGATATCAAGGGTGCTGTAAAATAAACAACAGCAGATGAAATGAGAAGTAATAAAAAAAAAAAAAAAAAACCTAACCTAACCTAACCTAACCTAACCTAACCTAACCTTTTTTTTTTTTTTTTTTTACGGGGGGAAATCCTCATGGACTGCCTCTGCCTGGGGACAGGCGGAGGGGTGTGCCGGACTCTTACCGGCTAAAACCACCCCGGTGTCTCCTCGCACGTGCACGCGCGGGGCCGCGGGAATCCAAATTCTTCCGCAGCCCCACACTAGTGCTGGCCCGGTCTGTACGGGCCTCGTCTCCTGCACGGGGTAATGAGGTGTTCAACTACCCCTGTATCACCTCAGAGGCACGCGCCGACACCCACGCGTGCCTCCGCCTCGGGTCCATCGAATAGGGGGCGGGGGCTTCCCCTAGTCCCTCGCCCCTGGACTTATTCATGGGGGCTGGAAAAGGGCGTTGTCCGCCCTTCTCCTGCGCCCGGTGCGCCTTCTGCGGCCAGGGAAGGGGAGTCGAGATCTCCCTCTCCCGTTCCGCAGTTTCCTTCTGCGACATCACGTCCTCACAGAAGGACACCACTGCATCCCACGATTCTGCGCTACCGACCATACTCCGCACCAAGGCCGACAGCGACAAA